TTTTAAAATTTGAATATGAATAAAATATTAAAAAACCGAAAATTAAAAATTAAAAATATCTCTCTCTCTCTCTTGGCACCTCAGTTCCGTTTGTTTCTTGGTACTCTTTGCATTTTTCTCAGTTTCTTCTGAAAATCCATGGACAAAAATCAGCCCAAAAAGTGCTCAGACCTTCAACAAAAGAACCTCCTTTTCATTCAAAAGTCCCCATGCACCATTAACAGCCCTGTCAACCCAACAGACCCAGCTTAGAAGCCATCTTCATAAACTCAACTCAAGTTATTTAGGTTGGGGGTTGGGGTGGAGGGTGGCTGTGGGATGGGTATGGGGGTTGGAGCTTGTTGGTGGTGGTCATGGGGATGAAGAAATCTCGGAGAGAGAGAGAGAGAGAGATTTGTTTTAAAAAAAAAATATTTTTTATTTATATTTTAATCAATTTAAAATTAAAAAAAATGTGGGACTTATAGTGCCACGTAGGCAACTAACAAAGAGATCTAACGAAAACCTAATTATGGCACTACACTGTAACAAATTTAAAAGACCGAGGTAAATTGAAAAGATAGGGAACTAACATGTCTTAAGAGTGTAACCACAATACATCAAATTGCAATAAAACCCATCATCTTTCTCTTTCTCTCTCTTCGAATGGGAGATGAAATCGAGAGGGTAGATCTGAATGTCAACTAAGAATGAAAATATTGGAAATACATATACTATCGAGCCTTCAATTTACGGATATTTTCGAGAATATATCAATGTCGTTTTAGGTATCAGTGAAAATCAACAAAAAAGACATATATTGTCTTAAATACAAGGAATTTTGAAGTGGAACTTTCATAGATATTAAGCACATTATCAATGAATGTATTGAACAAATAAAATTTAAAATATAATAAGTATAAGATATGCATATGATGAAATATACGTGTATATAATGCGCAATGAAAATCTTGAAAATAAATACAATTAGACTTAACACAACAAAGACAACATTATTCAAACATAACAAACTGAAGACAAATTTCTGGGTTATTTGTTTGGTATCGAAAAATATCGGTAAATATTGAGGATATCGGGGGTTATCGGGGATATATTGCCGATAAGGGGAAAGAAATAGGCTTACCTCCTGTATCTGTATCGACACAAAAAAAAAGGGATATATCGACCGATATTTTCATCCTTGATGTCAACAAAACCATATTCATCATCATCATAATACTCAAAATTCAAACCAAAAAAAGGAGATATGGTCTTAGCTTTTCATATACCAGATTTGGTGCTATACTTCTCTCTCTCTTACCATAACTCCAACCTCCCTCAACCAACCAACAACTGTTGTCCAAACCCGATATTTGTTCAACCCACCCAACTTATCGATCTAGATACCACAAGCCTAAAACTCCAAATCCATCAACAACTGTTGTCCAAACCCGATATTTGCTCAATCCACCCAACTTCTCTATCTAGATACGACAAGCCTAAAACTCCAAATCCATCGAGGAGTTCACAGCCCAACCACAATCAAAGATCCAACTACCACCGAAACCCAAGGTCATGTGGCACTCTTCGTCGCCAAGTTCTTAGGCCGCTGCAATGCCGACACAATACCTCGTCAAGTCTAGATCCGAGAAAGAGAAAGATAGAGATATATTATGATAGAGGCGGCGATTGGATTCAACGAAGGAGGGGGGTTGGGCTTTTGGGGTGGGGGTGTCTTGATAAGTTTTGGAAATTTTTACAGATGCTTGTGTTTCTTTGGTTGAGTAAAAATGTTTGAAAAGAAAACATTTTTTGTTGGCAAATATTGTCAGATTGTTTGGAGCAAGGTCTAAAATATCAATGGTTTCAGAAATATAGGTAGTTTAAAAATACGGAAATTTAGATGGAAATATCCGGATATTATCAATATCGATAAAAATTAAATAAGAACCACATAAATTGTAAGAAAAACTTGAAATTTTTTCTAGAAACTTTGGAGGATGTTTATTTAGTCAATTATCTATTATTTTATCACAAAAAATTAAAAGGAAATGCATTACATGATGAGTTTAACTGATTTAAGTTGATTATATAGTGAGCCGACAAATATTGCGAGTGTAGAAAATATGTAGGAATTAATGAAAGAAGATTAAACATATCATAATTATTTATTTATAATAATTTTCTACAATATTTTACAATTTATACATTACATGGTAAGATACATGAGTGACTTAGTTCCAAATAGAAAGGTTCAAATTTGAGTTATTTACACTACACCACCTCCTGAGGTTTTCGGTTTTTTCACAAGACTCTTTGAGATTTTAGAAATTACAAGAACACCCCCTGATGTTTTAAATTGTTTTCACAAAACTCTTTTATCTAAAGATTTATGATTTTATACAAAAAAAAATTCTCCAAATGTCAAAGTTGGTTTTCAAGATTAGATTGCATATACTTCATTGAGTTAATTTTGTCATTTGTATAAGTTTTTTTTTTGTTTTAAGATTCGATCAATTTACAGATTATGTTACTTTGAGCATTTAGTCTTCTGTTAAATGGATGACGTGGCAAATGAGGGACCAACTTTTGTGTTGATGTGTCAAAAAAAAAATTATAAAATAATCCTTAAAATAATAAAACACAAATTTTTTTAAAACATAACTAAAACCCATCCACAAAAAAAAACTCTTCTCTCCCCTAGCCACATTCTTCGACTCACCCTACAGATTCGCAGTTGACCCACCCCAACAGTCCCTTCCTGACCTTGACCCAAGCCCCACAGATACGCACTTCCCGACCTTGAAGTCAGCCTTTTTTTTTTCAATGTAATCATAAATTTTTGGACAAACAAACGAAAAGAGGTTTTGTGAAAACAAACTGAAACCTCAAGGAGGTGTTCGTGTAATTTTTGAGACTTGAGGAGGTTTTGTGAAAACACAAGAAACCTCAGGAGGTGTTAGTGTAAATAACTCTTCAAAGTTTTCATTATCTTCATCATATCGATATAATAGCAATATTTTGGCCAAATATATTGCTAAAGTGTGAAAGAAATTATCGACATCAATATTTTTTGATATTATCAATATTTATACGATATGCGTATTGATACGTTCCAAAATATTATTGAATAAAAAAAACGATAACATCCTCGATATTTCGTTGATATTATCGATATTTTAGACTATGGTAGAGAGAGAGAGAGAGAGAGAGAGAGAGAGAGAGGTTGGCTAGAGCTTTGATGGGGGTTGGAGGTTGGGATGTGGGCGATGGACAATGGTCAATGAGAAGAAATCGACCAGGGCGAAGGCGGGTGCTGGTTTGGATAAGTAGTTCCATGATTTTTTATTTATCTTTCTCTTCAATTTTTTTTATATGTTAATCAATTTAAAATTAAAAAAAAATGAAAATATGAGACCCATAGTGCCAAGTAGGCAATAAACGACGAGATCTAATGGAAACCCTAACAGTGGAACCACATTATAAAAAATTTAAAAGACCAGAGTATGTTATTATAAATATTGAGAAGGTAAGGATTAATATGTCTTAAAGGTATAACCATAGGGTACTAAACTATCATTAACCAATATCTCAATGATGAAATTGACATTGTCATTGATGTTTTGCATTAGCCACATTAACTTTTATATTCATCAAAGGAAAACTTTGATGTCATTTAGGGTTCTTAACTTCTTACCTCATCTATGTAGAATTATACAAACCCTAGCTATTAAGAGAGAGGGAAAGAAAAAGAGAGAGAAACCTTTAGATCCTGGGGTTTTCCCCTGGATCCTGTCAAATCTTCGGTGTTCTCCAGCTTTAGGTGGATCTATGTCGATCAACTCTTCTTCTGGCAGATCTATTGTCCCAAATACAAGTTGGTTTTGGTAGTGCCTCTTCTTGCGAGGCTCCTCTTTGAGGTGTTGCGGTTTGGTCATGGTAGATTCACTATGCATTAGTGCATTGATGCCCTCGAGTAATTAGATGACGCTCCCTTTGTCATGTTCCAAAGGAAGATCAGGCGGTGGGCTTTCCTTTTTTCGGTGTTGTTCTAGGTTTTATTTATTTATTTTAATTTAGTTTGTTAGAGTTTTCTATGTTTGTTTTATTTTATGATTCCAGAAACTCAATTGAGTTTGCTGAGTGTTCTTAGTCTATCTAGGAGAGTCATGCCGGTTAGCAGCTAGTTTTGGTTCTTGATGTCATTGGACTAGATTAGGGGAAATTATGGTGGTTGAAAGGGGTTTTAGAAAAGTTAATTTCAAGAGTGATTCTCTCTAGATTGTGTTAGTTTTTCGGCTAGCTCAGGTCATTGGAGAAATTTTACACATGACTGCCATATTGTTTAGGAATGCCTCCCTTTACTGTCTCTGTCCTTTGTACGCATTATTCATTTTGATCTAATAAAATTCTATCGTCTTCTGTCAAAAAAAAAAAAAAAAAAAAACTTCTTACCTCATCTTTCCCACTTATAGTATAATGTCACACGAGTTTACTGCACTCCTTGATAATCCAAGAGGATTACCTAAAGTCTCTGTAGCTTAATGTGCCACATAAATTTTCCACTTTTGGTATAATGTCAAAAACCACCTCTTGATAATGTCCTCAAAATCATATAAAAGTTTGAGCGTCCATCTTCTGTACTGACATGGTTTCTTCCTTAAGTAATACATGAGTATTGAAATTATTCAAAATTTCTTGATATTTATAAACACATTCAGAATGAAAAACAATTCATAATGCAATACCTAAAACGTGAAAATTAATCTAGAATATCTCCCGTCCCTTTACACACGAGTTCAATCCCTTTTCCCGTACCTTGGAATAGTCTAGAATATCAAAATTTTTTTTTTTTTATAAATGAAAAGTAATTTGTAATGCAATACCTAAAACTTAAGAATCAGATTTGCCAGAGGGGTTTTTTGTTTTGTAATTTTGAACGGAGCCACAGAGGTTATACTTCTGATATCTTAACCGGCCGCACGTGTTTTCACCGCATTGGAGGGTCATATTATTCATCCTCGTACCCGAAAAATGAAAAGAAACAAAACCAAAAAGGTGCAGTGCAGGACTCTCTATCCTCAGTTCCTCGTTCTTCGTAGTAGGCCATGAATCAAATTCAACCTCTGCAATTAGGGTTCAAAACATTTCTCAGTCTCACCCGGTTTTATATTTTAATTTGTTTTTTTAGGCTGTGTTTTACATACTTTCTGCGTTTCAATTTCTTAGTAATTTCAGCTACAGTTGAAATGACTGACCAACATCGGTAGCTTTGCAGTAGCTCCAAGGAATTTGAGAACTGGAGCATTGGCTTCTCTTACTAGATTACGAGCAACTCAAGGAGTGGCTAGAAGACCCGTTTCCGCTAAAACAACAAAGCCCATGTTTGAGGAAAATAAGAAGGATAAGACATTCAAAGAATCAATGGGTACAAACCCAAGCCCTCATAAACCTATTGTCAAGGTTATAGCTCATGCCTCTATACTGATTTTTGTATTTTTGTATTTTTTGTTTTGTTCTTGTTTTTATGTTGGGTATGGGTAGTTTGCATTAGTTTGATGTTGATTGATTAAATCTTTTAGGATGATGGTGCTGAAAGCAATGTGGTTGAGATTGAGAGTTTTAAGAATGAGCCTGCGAGAATCGAGGCAATGACGGTTCAACAACTCAGAACAACACTGAGGTAACATTCCAAGTGTTAATTCCTTCCTTGTGAGTCCAATGGGAATGTTCCCTCTATAAACATAGTAATTTCTTTTTCTTTCTATGGATAGTGGAATAAGTTAACGATTAGATGGTGTTGATCAATATGGTGTCCTTGAGTTGAACATGTTAAATGTTCTACAATGATTTGGAACTTTAAATTGCCTGTCAGAAATGCTGGGGTTTCTGCCAAAGGCCGTAAATTTGAACTTGTGGCTGCCTTGAAGTGCTTTTTGGAAAAGAAGAAAGATGGTAATATCTATTATTCTCATGTACTTCTCTGAAGATGTAGCAAAAGAAGAAACTTTTTTATAAAATAATGATTCCAAACTCTTTCTTCCGTTTGCCTTATTCTCTGGGCTTGAATGGTTAGGAGTTCCTTTTCATTTTCAGGTGAAGGTTCCCTGGTAATAGAAGAACAAGTAGCCTCCACTTGTGTTGAAAATGCATCAGAGAAAACTGAGGCTGAAACATCATCTGATGGAGACCAAGTTCAGAATGTCCCTGTTTCGGAGGTTGGTGAACTTCAACGTTACAAGAGAAGGTTAAACCATTCGTCAGTTAAGAGTGAAACTGTGATAGGCTATAGCAAGGTTGCAACGAAAAAGGAGAAGTTGTCAATTGAGTCAGAAGACCTTTCAGGTTCTGTAAAATGATTCCATGAATCTTCTTAATTGAGTTTATTTCATATGTTTATCTGGGTTCAGTTCACTTAATGAAGAGGACTGGTGTATCGTTGTTATCTATCCAGGTCACAAGCTCTCAAGGACAAGAAAGAAAACATCTTCAGAAACTATCAATTTTGATGTCAAAACTGATGATAAAGTAGCTGAGCCATGGACAGTTCTTGCGCATAAGAAACCTCAGAAAGATTGGATTCCTTATAATCCTAGAACCATGAAACTTCCACCGCTTGCTAAGGATACTAAATTTTTGAAGCTTATGTCTTGGAATGTCAATGGTTTAAGGGCATTATTGAAGTTAGAGGGATTCTCTGCTTTGCAGCTAGCCCAAAGGGAAGATTTTGATGTACTGTGTTTGCAGGAGACCAAACTGCAGGCAAGTATTTTAGTTCTTATCTTTGCTTCTTAAAGCTTAAACTCTTGTTTGATGATGCTGTTGACACATCATCGTTTTGCAGTTACATTTTTTTGTTTCAACATCATATATTGCTTTGTGATTGGTAAAGAATTGACTGACTCTTTGGCTTCTATACTAAGCCCTCTCACATGTTGAGCATTGGGCGACAATCCTGTTAAGAAATGTCATAAATTGCCTAATATTCTTTTTGTATTAACATTATGGGCCAATTAAGGCTCAAAATTCATTTTCAAGTAGGTTCTCCTGTGAATAGGATTGGATTCTTGTGACTAGTAAAGTTTCAAATATTTATTCCATTAAACCTTATGAGTTATAGTGTTGTGCTTCGAGGACATTGTTGGTTAAAAAATCTGAATGGAGTCGGTCAGTTTTTCCTTCAATTATGTAAATGTGGTGTCCATCTTAATGTGCTAATTTCTAGTGTTCATTACAAATATAGCTTTCTTATAGCATTTTTTGTGTTATGTATAATCACATTTATTAAGTTTGGGAACAGGAGAAGGATGTTGAAGATGTGAAAAGGTCTCTGATAGATGGGTATGAGAATAGCTTCTGGACATGTAGTGTTTCCAAGCTTGGTTATTCAGGAACTGCAATTATTTCAAGGGTATACTGTCTTTCTTCATGATGACAGTCAATTTCATGTCTTTACAACATGCATTTGATAATACTATCCATTTATGCGTCTTGCTTGCATAGCGTCGTGGCTGTCAGCCTAACTTTTATCACATAATTGAGCTTTTAAAAAAATGGAGATTCCTTTGTCTTTTATCACATACGTGAGCTTTTAAAACCAATACTGAACCTGAAACTTATGGGTCTAGTGATTAGCGGAATCTTGTTTCTAGGTTGTTTAAGAATTTTTTTTTAGGGAAATGCGATTTTGAGAATAAAAATGTGGCTGTTAATTTTTCTTTTCTCTAAGTGTATGCTATATTGCTCGAAATATAGACTGGCTATGTTTGCCTAAGAAATTTGCAAATGTTACTTTCGTTACTGGGATTTAAGAATGAAATGAATTTGATTAAGTAAGTCCATTCTTAACTATCTTGGTGAAAAACAACCTTTTTTTTTTCTTCTTCTTTTATCTTGGTTATCTTATTAAACTGCTAGTGAATATTGGCTTTTGTCTGACAGATAAAGCCTATCAGATCATGATAGTGAGGGGCGGATTATAACAGCAGAGTTTGATTCATTTTATCTGGTAACTGGATATGTTCCTAATTCTGGAGATGGTTTGAGAAGACTGGTATTGACCTCGAGTCCTTTGCAGCCTAATTACATGGGGTAGTATTCTGCTTGGCTAACAACTCCATTTTATTTTTTTAGTCATACAGGATTAATGAATGGGATCCATCTCTCAGCAATTACATGAAAGTAAGTGTGGTTTTATTTGTTCTTTCTCAGAAAATTTTCTGCTAGCAGGTTTTTGTTTGTTTGTTGGACTTAATTCCTTTTTTCACAATGCCTTTATACTGGCAGAATTTATTGTTATTTATGTTGAATACATCTTACTTGAGTAGTGCGTGACCATCATATTAATATTAATATTCAGGTCAATACTCAGCACAACCAAATTCAATTTGAATATATTCAATTCTAAATTTAGAAAACTGATTTCTCTTCTGGCAGATTAGTGCATGCCTGTCATATCTCCTCAAATTTGAAGAATCCAAAATTGGTCTAGACAGCATGTCTCAGTGCTTATAACCTTAAATAGTTTAATTGGGCACAAATACTGTTTGGTCGAATATGCATTTTCTTAAAATTTTATCTGCTTTTGAAAAAGCATAGTTATGAAAATTTTGTGGTAATTTCTTGATGCTTATGGGTGCTTTCATTGTTGATTCAGGAGCTGGAAAAGTCAAAACCTGTCATTTTAACAGGTGATCTGAATTGTGCTCATCAAGAGATAGATATTTATAACCCAGCTGTAAGTTTTCATTATTTGTTGTCAAAGAACTTTTATGATTCCCTGATTGATCACTCAACCTTGAAAAACTATATACTCTTTGTAATATATCAACTCACAAAAATCTTTTAAAAATAACATAATGTACGATAATGCCTATGTTTAATGATTCTAAACGTTTTAAATTTTGTAAGGCAATGAAATGTTAAGATGAGTCAAGATCTTTGATATTAATAATGGAAAAAATGAAATCTTTAAAACCAACCTAATGAACCAAAATAAAGACTACCAAGCTTCACCCAACAAATTAATCACCAAAAAATGTTTATCTTAGAATTCCATTATGTCCATTGCCAAATTTCTGGTTTCAATCTGCAGTAGAGAAAGTGTATTATTGAACTTGGCCAGTTTAGGATGGCTTTAGGCTTTAGTTAGATAAGTATCTCTTGTTTAGCACCTCAGCTTGAAATGAATTAATAACTGGTAGCACTTGAGATGTTGTTCCCCTAATCCAACTTAAAAGAAAACGCAGCATACATCCTAGGTATGCTTTTTGGGTGACTTTGTATGAATATGAAGGGACTATAAAGAGGCAGGAACAGTTGACATTGGTGTAAAGCTCAGCACCGCTGAATAACTTTTAGAGGATTTGTTTTTCAACAATCCACCTGTTGAATTTAGTGCTCTAATATTACACATATGTTTTATCAAAGACAACCTATCAATCAAGAAGATTTGAGATTTTGGATTGATGTGAAATTTGACTATCATAATGAGCACACTTGAGCAGTAAGTTCAACGGCAAATAAAAATTAAACATCCTATAAGAGTTTTACGAGATGTAAAGGTAGCAATTTTTACAGTGGTGTCACTTCAAAACAAATCCTGTACTTTCGCCATATTCCCTCCAGATATTAACATTTTCTATGGAAAAAATTTAGGTGGTAAATTGAACATAAGTAGGGCAGTGCTATGCCTCTCCAGTCTCTCCAGTGGTTTGTCATATAATCCCAGTTTTATTTATGGGGTTGTTTTTTGTTGATCATCTACAGGGAAACAAAAGAAGTGCTGGGTTTACAGATGAAGAAAGGCAATCCTTTGGTTCAAACTTCTTATCCAGGGGATTTGTGGATAGCTTTAGAAGGCAACACCCTGGTGTTGTTGGCTATACTTACTGGGGTTATCGACATGGTGGACGCAAATTTAATAGAGGTATTTCCCACTCCTATATTCATAGTTTTGATAATTCAGATTTGCCATTGCATTTGAAGTAGTTAACGGTATTAATTTAAAACATGTAGTTTTGTTCTGAGTGTTCTTTTCAACCAGACATTCTAAGTGTTCATGATTTGCATACTTTGTTCTGCAATTTTCTGTGTGAGGCCAAAATATTTATATTTTACGCTAGATTTCTTTCTTTGCAATTTGGTTTTATAAATCGAAAGTTTGCTTTCTTTGTTATTATTATTTCTTCTAACAAAACTCCGATTTACTTGGCTTTGAACTAGGCTGGCGGCTTGACTACTTCCTCGTCTCGGAATCCATAGCTGACAAGGTTCATGACTCATACATTCTGCCGGATATAACTGGCAGCGATCATTGTCCTATAGGCCTTGTACTTAAGCTGTAGGTATGGTAAAATCAAAACCAATTTTGTATGTCTACCTAAAATAGGAGCGTGCAAGTTTAGAGGTGGAAATTTTGTAGTGCCTTCACCTGTAAGCTATTTTTGTGTGTGTTCTAATATAATGACCAGGTTATTTGTGCTCAATTTGGGTCATTATTATATTATGTCTCCTTTATGAAGAAGCAATGATTTTAATTCCCCACGATGGATTTATATATGATAATTTGAATATTCTGGAGCTGTTGTCATGCCTTGGGAAATTTCATGCAGGCAGATGTTAATATGTGCCTGTAAGTTCATATCTATCTAATATTAATTTCTAGGTCTCCAATCCATCCTCCACCGCATATTTATGTATTTTTTTTGACAATATGATATTTTAAACTACTCTAATGTACGGGAAGGAGAATCAAACTTAGATGCAACGGACAGGCACAGCCTTGGCCAACTTGCCTAACATGCATCTACTGGTTATGTTGGTTGTATGTACTTCGCATTAACTAAAAGATATTTTACTACTCCAATAAGATATATGCTCAATATAAATAACAAAGAATTATGCTTAATTATAATTATATATATATATTTTTGGACGAAGCTTAATTATAATTATATTGGATACAAAAGATTCTCTCGTATTTTTAATTGGGGAGCATTTTTGCTCACTACTTTAAATTAAGGTGTACTCTCACCACCCTTTTCAAAAGATGACACATGTCCTACCGATATTGCCAAGCAGACAATGTGGTTCTCTGCAATATTCAGTACTGCAGGGTGGCTCATTATAGCATTTGCAAAGGTTTCTTCTCTTTACGGTCTCCACGAATGCATAGCGAATGCTTTGATGTTGAAATTTATGGTTTAGCAAGAAAGTTCCAACTCCTTTTTCTTTGTGCTTCCCCTCTTACTATTCCTTCTCTAATTACAAGCCATAAAAGTGCCTTAGGAAAGAAAATGGATGTCCATGAATCATTAATATTCTCTTACATTTTCATCATTTTACATAAGGAGGAGGGACACACAACACTATTTGAGGGGGGACTAGATTATGATTAATCCTGCCCCAGCTTAATCTAATGATCGAAGGTGAGACTGGACTAAAGTAGTCCAATCCCATGCTTTATCGTGCCCAACAAACAAGAAAAGAATTGCTTTTGGTGCACTATTTATCCAAAGCTTTTTTCACTCCGGTGTGGTGGAATTGCATTGCATTTAATTCAATGAGTTGAAAAGCAAAGCAGCCGAAGATTCTGTGCAAGACATGCTACTATAACAGTTGAAAATCTAAAAATTCCGAACACATGGGAGATGGCCAAAGTAGGATTTACTATCATAGTATCATGACTATAGTACTTACAAGTAATTTTGATTGCATCAGGGAATTTTGGGTGGAAAACACTCAATGTCTGCACAAACTCTGCAAACTCGATGTATCCATCGTTGTTGTCATTGAAAAGATCAAACATCTGCATAAGCATGGCAGAACAAAGAAAAAATTGAGGAATGAGATTCCTAATTAATGAAATTAGAGGAAATGTTCAGTCTATGACTTGCTCTATGCGGAACTTGATCCAATATGTGGTTTTGCACATGGAAATAAAAAAGATTAGGATGATAGCCACCAACCATGTAAACCTCACACAATTATGCAGATGTCTGGAGGAATTCTTTGAATTTCTTGCTTGGACAGGGCGATACGATGACAGCTTGGAAGCTTCAAAGCATGTGATAGAGTTGGTTGCAAATTTTGGGGGATACTATTAGCAATTGATACAGGTAGTTGTGAACTAGCACCAAAACCAGCTTCCATTGACAGCTTGGAAGCATGTGACTGAATTGATTGCAAACGTTGGGGTATACCATTAGCAACATATACAGGTACTTGTGAACCAGCACTAAAAGCAGTTTGATGGAGAAGATTATGAAAAGGAGCAGCGGTATTTTAGATCACCTGGAGAAGCATTTTTACCAGGCTCCAGGCCCTCATAGGCTGCCCAAGTAGTTTTTACCGCATCAGGCCGATTCTCAGCCACTATTGGATTGAAAATGATTACTTCATCTTCCTCATCCCCTTCCATGGTTAACTCGGGCTTCAGATATGCAACTCCCAGCTTCAGCCTTATCATTTTCAGCATACTCACGAGTTTTGGAGTCCTCCTCCCCATACAATCCTTTGTAGCATGCAAGATCACCCAAGTAGATCAGACATGGGTGGCATGATCTTCATTTCAGTAAATTTCTTTCCATCCTTGTCCATAACAAATCTATTTTCAGAATCGTCAGAGAAATACCCCAGAGGATCCAGTAACCAATATTTGCTATTGCTAAGACAATTCCTTGAGGATCCAGCGTGATCTCCTTATGCCCACATGCCCAACTAGTAATATCTACAAATAGAACCTGACTGAATCAAAAGGTACAAAGTAACACACACACACACACACAGAGACACATGAGAAAATAATCTGAAACCAAAGCCAGCCAGGAAATCATATCACAATGACTACAATCAATAGCGAACTGGGTATCACAAAACTGGTTTTAGTCATACATATAGGCTATGTTTGTTACATAAGACTGGCTTGGACAGGACTAATTATGAGAACTATCTAGGAAAGGCTTTGCTTCGACTAAATTCTATCCTATGTTTGATGGGGCGCTGGACTAAGGGGGACTAAGGGGTTGGATTCTGAATCCAACCCGGGAGACTTTGGAAAAACACAAAGGAGAGAGAAATTTTGTAAAACAAGCCAAAATAGACAAAATTGCCCTTATTTATTTTTGAATTTCCTAAGGAATCCTTTACATTTGCATGTCTTTGATTTGAAAGTTGAGAGGTTTTTCTGTCTTTTTTGAAAAAGCTTTGGCTTTTTCCAAAAGTGAAATTTTTTTTTTGGCTAAAACCTAAATTTACTTTGGAGGGAATTCAGGACAGACTATAATTCTAAACTATGAAAATAAACATTTCAAGCATTAATATATAGAATTTTTTTTGTTCTCAAATATGCATCAACAAAAGTCATAAACTTAACTAAATATTACAGCCATAAAAACTATATTCAGGCTTAAATGAATATTACAGCCAGTTTTTCAATTAAAAATTTATTAATATTTAAAAGTCCTCACTAGACACTGTAATTCATGTCCTCAATACATCAGACTAATGTAATTTCACACAAGAAAAAAAAAAAGAAAAAAAAGAAAAGCAAACTGAAAATGTAAAATAAAAAGTACAAGTAACATAGGCAAAGTTCTTTGAAAGGGAAACCAAAGTTTGGAATTGACCCACATAATATAGATTACCACTAAGCCGAACTAAACTAGTACGCCAAAACTAAGTGTTAATGGTTCATATCATCATTATAAGTCAAGCCTATCAGAGAGCACCACGTGGCCAAAAGAGACCAGGCCGTTCCTATACCGACCCAACTAGGTTGACCACCCTAAGTGTCGCTAAGGCCTTCTAGCAGAGCTTGTTAGGAGATACCATGCGACCCCGACCCGACCACTAAGATGCCGTATGACCAGAGATAGAAGCATTGATATTCTGACACGACTGGATCCCTATCAAGTCAAGTCACTTCATGCACCTATTACCAGCATGATGATGGAAATGGATCATTTAATGCGCTTCACATCCAAGCCAGGTGTCGCCTTGCTACTTGATCCCTGGTAATCACCATGGTGATGGGTGCCCATAATTGCTCTCCAATCCCACCATTGGAATGACTAAAGGATCTCCCCTTCAGCTAGATTTAAGGAGATGGAGAATGGCTGAAGATCTCATTTCTGGCAAGATTTGAGGAGATATGATCTCTCCTTCTCCCCTTATAAATACTCTTCACATGCATTAAGACAAAGATAATAAATATTCTCATTTTGAAACTCTCCATTCTTCTCTCCACTCTAAAACCACCTCTAACTTAACTATCAGAGGAGGTTCAACTGGTATCCAACCAGTTTGCCCCTCTTCTGATAGTCACTTGAATTGTGCATGTCATCTCGAGAGAACAACTTAATCTCACGATCGGGGACACGTCCTAGTCTTGACCCAAGTCAAGACCACCAGTACAACCAGAGAGACACCTTGTCAACATTATACTAAGAAAAAAAGAAAAGCAGAAACTAGCCAATAGATTTTGAAATTATACACTACAAGCAGTTTTGGCTAAAAACCAATCTAAACAAAGAACAGGGTACCTCATATTTCGGCTGCCGCTCCTCTTCAGAGAAAAAGAAAAGAAAAGAAAAGAAATTGGAAAACATTAAAAGCAAAATCAGTGAAACTCAAGATGTTAATATAAAAAAACTTATAATTCCAAGCCAACAGTCAACTACCAACAAATTCATCAATATTAATTACCTGGAGGTTTATTACTCACTTTTCAGAGAGAGAGAGAGACAACTAATATATGAATGATCTTCATCCATTGAAAAATTCATAAAGTTTGAATGAGAGATTTAATTAAAGGGTTAATTATTTTTTTAGTCACTGAACTTAGATCAAATTTGCATTTGAGTCATTTAATTTCTAAAATTATTCATGTGGTCCTTTAACATCACTTTCTTTAGAACAAATGGTCTTGTCGTCAATTCTGATAACTTTTTTTGTTAAATACGGGGCAAAATGATATTTTTATGTTCAAATAAAAAAATCAAATAAAAAATCATATCTTTAAAATAACAATAAAAGAAAATCAAATAAAAAAGACAACTATCAAATATCATACTCATTTAATTAATAATTTCAATTCTTAATGTTTGAATTAACCAATGACATTTTTTGGTATTTTAAATGTTTCACCATTCTCTGCCTTTTGCCTTTTCCTAAATAATATGATGTTGGTTTTCCTATCTATTATCAGTTTTCGAGTAGCCCAATATAAGGGGCCTCTCTAACATAGAACTTTTGTATGCAATTTTTTTCCGAGGAGCCAGTAATTTTTTTTATTTTTTTAAGGCAAGCTTCAGCCTTCATCCACATCCACAGCCACTCAAAGCCCTCTGTAGCATTATTGTATGACTCTGAGAAAATAGTTTTAGCCCAATTTTTCTGATGAGGTGGCAGAATTCTATTGGAGCAATGACGACAACGAGAAACGTAACTGGACAGTCTTGAGTCACGACTCGCCGGGTCAAAACGCAGAGTTTCAATAAAAGAAATAAAATAAGAAATTCAAGAGAAGAAGAGAAGACTACATTGCTCAGATCAGAGACACCAATATTGAGAGAGAGAGGGGGAGAGAGCCATGGCAGCTCGAAAGCGAGCTTCAAAAGACTCGTCCGCACAAACCAAACCAAACGATACCACCACACGACCCAAACCCCAAGAACCTCCATTAACAGACCCGCCAATTGCACCCCCAAAGTCAGGTGTAATTCTCAAGCTCACGCTCTTCTTCTCAGTCCCATACTTTTATCTCATCTTCTATCACTACAAGATCGAATATGAGCTTCGAAAATCGATTCTCATCAATGCGGCTCTCAGCCTTGCCGGGTTCTTCGTTACCGTTAAGATGATCCCCGTGGCTTCCAGATACGTTCTCAGGCGCAACCTCTTTGGTTATGACATTAACAAAAAGGGTACCCCGCAGGGCACTGTCAAAGTGTGAGTCTTTGTTCAAGATATATTAGTTATCTGTATAAAGTTTTTTTTTTTTCATTGAAATTATGATTTTGGTATGTGCTAGGATTGATTTTTGACTGAATTGATGAACTGAGTATGTGTTACATTAAGGATTTGACTATGGTTATGAATCAGGCATGTTCAAGATTTGGTATTTTTTAAATCAAATTTATCAGCTTGGCATGTGTTATACTTTTTTTTGTTAACCAAATTCCTGTACCGGGCATTGTCTTTAGTTCTTATATACTATCCTGGCTGAATATTAAATGACTTACTCTGCTTCATGCATTGGAATTGTCCCTTTAATTAGTTATATAGCTGTGAGCTATGTCAAATTTAAGTTTATCCGTTTCCAATCTCTAAGGGCAGAACCTATGCTGCATGCTAAATTTGCAGCTCAATTGTTTCATCTCTGTTCCCGAGTCTTTGGAGCTCATTGTTTAGACTGTTGTTTATGGAAAGTTTGATGATTTGCAGTATCAGTGATTATGGACAATTAAGGCACTGTGATTATCATCCTTTGGCTTTTCCTTTTGTATTCCCTAGAAATTGATTTTAGTGAGAAATCTTGGTTTCTATTTCAGAATGTTTGTTCTAGAAAATGCAAAATCCGAATACTATGAAGTGTGCAATGGAGAAGATCCTCTTTTTTCTTTTCCAAAATATAAATAGTCTATTATATTAATCTGATGTTTCATACCCCCAACTTATCTTTTATAGTTAATGTTCCATTTGTGTTTTACAGGCCTGAGTCATTGGGTATTGTTGTTGGAATTGTTTTCTTGGTCTTGGGAATCTTATTCCAGTATTTCAACTTCACTGCAGATTCAAATGTAAGTTTGCTCTCTTTCATTGAATACAGGAACATAACTTTACTTCAATTTACAATTTCTGCAATTTATTGTTGCTCAGAGGTGAAACTATTAGCTTTTGGTGAAACATGAGAATTTTTGTTTGTTTGTTATCTGTTTGCCTACTTTTTAAATGTAGTTATTTACATAGTTAAAGGCATTAGGGAAGAAACTGTTCCCACCACTTGAGGGGTAGGGAGATCAAAATGCATAATAAGATCACAGCCAATCTCAATGAGCCATGGTGGTGCGGTGAGTATGCTTGCTGTAGTAGGGGTCCTTAGCTTAATGTGGTTTGTGATGATGGTAGGCTGGAGGGAATGGCACTGGTGGTGATTAAAGTCAACAACTAGAGCCTAAAAGTGCAAGACCCTCTGGTATTTAATATATCAATTGATAATGTTATGTTTCTTGACTATCTAAATCTTTTATTTGAAAAAAGAGTCTAAAAGAGGAAAGGATATGTAGATTAAAGGTTTTCTGTAGCGATTTTTCTTATGTGAAAGAATATCTAAAAGAAGAACAATTGTGATAATTTATAAGAGACAAAAAGGATGAAAGGGCTGTTTTTCCTCTTTGTAATATGTATGGAAACTATTGTATAGTGTGGGAAAATTTAAATAGCGCATTAAGGAAAAAAGTAAAATTAAAAAAGAAGAAGAGGAAAGCTAGCTTTTATTAAACAGTAAATAGATGGGGACTTTTAATTTTTGGGCTCCTAAGCCATGGTGTTATGGTCTCAGGGAAGAGCTGGCCCCACTGGTGATGATGTGGTCTGGGGAATACTGAATGGATTACAGTAGAGGATATGGTGGTGAGAACCGGTGTTTATAATTATTATTATTTTGCAACTAATGTTGCCGAGGGCAGTGAATGCTACAACTTTTAATTTGGAGTTTTGTAGGATAAGCATAAAATAACCGTGCTTTGTATTGTTACTATGTAATGAGGACTGCTGGAATGAAAATAATGAACTAGAAGTGGCAAAATAAGAAAGGATAAACTAGAAGTACTGACATTGTGGAATTAGAGTTAGAATGAGTTGACAACTGATATGAGAGCTAAGATGGTTTTGAGGTGTGGATGAAGATTGATGATGGCACTAGTAGGACTGGATGCAAGTTGAGCTGGAGAAACAACTCTTTGATTTTCTGACATGATGAACTTCAATCCTTTTTGTATCACCTTCTAAGGCTTCTTCTACTGAATTTCATGTTTGTAAATTGTGGCCATATGTTTGGATGGTGGAAGACTAAAGTGTTAACATTTCAATCATGCAGTGGCTAGTCGAGTACAATGCAGCATTAGCATCCATATGCTTTATGGTATTGCTTGGATTTGTAGATGATGTTCTTGATATACCTTGGAGGGTGTGAGTATCCAGTTATTTCTAGATATTTATACCAATTGCAAAATATTTTAGCTTCAAAATGGCTCTCCAAATTAACTGAGTTCCTATGCGTTTTCTTCTAATTGTGGGGAGCAGGAAACTGCTACTGCCATCCTTTGCAGCTCTACCTCTGCTGATGGCCTATGCTGGACATACAACTATCATCATACCAAAGCCTCTTATTCCATATGTTGGGCTAGAGGTTTTGGATCTAGGTATGCTCATAAAAAGAGTTGCATAGCTCTAAGAAAGTGAGAAATGAATTTGTATCGTATGTTCTTTTTATGCATGTAGGATGGATGTACAAGCTATACATGGGACTTTTGGCGGTTTTCTGTACAAACTCCATCAACATTCATGCTGGCTTGAATGGTCTTGAAGTTGGGCAGACAGTCATCATTGCATCTGCTGTAAGTATAAAGACTTGTGAAACACTGGCCCTCCAGCTCTATTATAAAAATGACACATGCTACTGATCTGCAGATTTTAATACACAATATCATGCAAATTGGAGCATCTGCAGATTCTGAGTATAAGATGGCACATGCATTCTCTCTATATCTTGTCCAACCCTTATTAGCCACCTCATTGGCGTTGTTCTCTTACAACTGGTGAGTTGCTTTCTGTATTATTTTACTGAGTTGCTTATGTTTATGGCTCTCCTCTTTCATAAAATATTTACCATTTCCTTTCTCCTTATTTAAGGTATCCTTCTTCAGCTTTTGTTGGAGATACATACACATACTTTGCTGGGATGACGATGGCTGTAGCTGGGATTTTAGGCCATTTTAGGTGTGTTCTCCCTTATCTTTCAATTTCATTTTAATACTAATAATATGTGGGACCTTAATTTGCATATTTTAGTTATTGCTTGCAATTCTGTGCTAAGTTTTTGTTACATACGTAATTTTCTAACTGGAACTCCCAATCTTGCATAAATAAAAGGCATCATGGAGAAAATTCTTGTTTGAGTGGTGATTTCCCCACTCCTTTGTAAGTGGATAAAATAGGAGTGGGGAAATCATTGCCCTCTTGTTTTTGGTACCCTAGAAAATCCATGCCTTTCTTTATTCAGGAACCTAATATTGCTTTCTATTCTTCAAGTCTATGCCATAGATGGAAACTTATAAGATTGTTAGTCGCTCTTGTTTCAATTGATTTCTTTCTCTTTCTTTTTCCATTTCTTTTTCTTTTTCCATTTCTTTTTTCGTTTTGCCAATACCTGGTTGTTTATGCTGTTGCTTAAGATATAATGTCACCCTCAATCACCCTGACATTCCCTGATGTTTCCTCTTACAAGAGAAATATGTTAAAGTGAACCTTGAGATGTACAACTGAACTGCAATTAGTGAGAAAAAATGTGGATCTCATCATGCTGACCTTTTAGTTAAACAAAAAATGAATGAAATGCTAGCATTGATTGAGGGGTCAAAGGTATAATTCTTCTGAGCTAACCCCACAAACAATCTGAGTGCAATAAATTTCTTGCAATGAAATCTGAAGATCAACAATATATATACACCTTTTGGAATGACGCTGCTTCTTTCCTGACATATAACTTTCCGTTATTGTCTACTATACTTTTGTTAACATTCATATACATTACCTGATGGTTGACTCTTGTTTATCCTTTTGAATTTTGGTTTCAGTGAAACACTTCTGATTTTCTTTGTCCCTCAAGTATTGAACTTTCTCTTGTCACTGCCCCAGGTTTGATATCATCCTCTCTCTCTCTCTCTCTCTCTCTCTCTCTCTCTCTCTCTCTCTCTCTCTCTCATATATGACATCTAAAATGCATGACATGTACGTCACCTCATCTTTTGTTACCTTCTTTTCAGCTTGCTGGCATTGTTCCGTGTCCACGGCATCGTCTTCCTAAGTAATTTTGTGTGAATTCTAACTTATGATTAGGAACTGCTGGAGGCATCATAGAGAATGATCACTATAAATATCTTTCCTTTTACTTTTCAGGTTTGATCCTGGCACTGGACTGCTGACTGGGACAAATGATGGGACACTTGTAAACTTTTTTCTAAGACGATTTGGCAGGATGACGGAGAAGTCACTTTGCATCTATCTTCTAGTTTTCCAGGTTATTTATTCATGTATTTTTCCCTATAACCTGCATGTTTATTGCATGTAATCTTGAGTCCACCTCCATCACCACAAGATATTTGTGTGGTATGCAAAAGCCTATGACCTGCATTCTTAGGCTAAATGGGGAAAGATCCAGCTGAACTTGTAAATACTTCCTGCACATATGAGTGTTATTGTTACCATTTGGACAATAAGCTGATACTGTTGGCATGATTATGCCATGTCAGTCATGCTCCAAACCTACTAAGTATAAAACCAACCCAAGTAGATTGGTTACTAAAAATTAAGAAGCCAGCAGCTTAAGGATCCATGTATTTCACCCCAATTTTCTGAGATTAAGTCTTAGTTGATTGTTTTCTTTGGTACATTGGGGTGGGATTGAATCCCATGAGATATTCCAATCCTAACCTCCTCAACTGAGCTATCCCCTGGGGTTTAAATCTTAGTTGATTGTTTTAGGCAAAATATATCAATCTATTAAGAATGGGTTTTAGTGTTTATGTCTCCAGGTGGAAACCTAGTGAACAGTTGGCATATTGTCAGAAAATATACGGCATTCTTTGGTGTTTTAGTTAAGATGCATGCTAAGGTCCATGCCGGACAATTTATTGATATTCTGTGATCATATTTGTGTTTTAGTTGTGTAATTTGTAAATGTTGCAATTGTTGAATGCCTACATGCAACAGGCCATCGCTTGCTGCTTCTGTTTCGTGCTGAGATTTTTCCTTGCTGGCTGGTACAAGTGATGTGGAAGGGACGCAATACTTTTGGCTAATTTATTAACATTCATGGACTATCCACGCACATTTCTTTTCTGGTGGAGGAAGCATGTTGTACTGTATTATTTCCTGTAAACGGGTCAAAGCCAGGGATGCTAGAGTACATCTTTTAGTTAAAATGCAAATGAGTGATTTGAAGTTTTGACATCCTTAAGATGGTTCCAATTTATATTTGCTTATATTATTTTAAAGAAAGGATCTCACATGTGATAAATTTAGAGTTACGATTTGTATTTTGGCCCTTGAAGATGAGAAAAATTGGCCAGGTTTGAAATTGTCTTGGAATGCCAACCGATGGCTCAGGGTAATCAATCAGTAGGCAAGACTTCCAAATTATTAATGAATAATATTGTAAATTTGTTTTTTTGATGCGGGAATAATATTGTAATGTTTAGCTACATTTACTGATTTACTGATTTACAACTTTATGGCTTTCTATTTTTTGATAAAATCAACATTATGCTTAAATTGATTGACATTATGCTTCTATATATATGAAATGACAAGTTGAAATGTGCAGCATTATGTCTTCTATTTGCGGAACGCTGCTATGGGACAATACCACACTATGCTATGACACCAAATTAATTTTTGGTGCAATCAGTAGGCTTAAAAGAAACAGTATCTTTCTTAAGGTCAGCCTATCAAGAAATTCGTTTGTGCCATGTTGCCAAAGACAGCGACACTTCGATTAACAGGTCTGAAAGCAAAGCAGACAACGTCCATTCAGAGTCTTAAGAAGGTGTTCACTGCAGTCAACTTCACATTTGCACCAGTGAAATGTGCAGTATTTAACGGAGCTTTGATAGCACCGGATTTGGTCCGGTAGCAAGGGCTTAGGAAGCAACAAGGATCACTTGCACGTCTTGACCATATGGCCTTACTCACTGCCAATTCCAGCTTATTGTAAAAGTCTTGTGGTAGCAATGTCAACGTAGTCCCGGAATCGGCTATAATATTGCCCTCTGCTGGAGCAAATGAGGAGCTCAGTGAACCGTTATATTGCAATCCCTTACGTCCCACACTCATTGCTTCCAACCTTAGATAATAAAAAGATTTTTGGTCTCCTGAAAGTAAGGGGGTAGAAACCACCATGGCACCAGAAACCACAGCTTCACTGCCAAAGCTCATTTTGCTTGAAGAGTTCGAGTCCTGAAAAGGCCTGCACAAGGCAGTAGGAGAATTTCCCATCAACTGAAGAACTCATTTGAGAGATAAGAGACACCGATCCACGTGCGAGGCCGATCATGCCTGATCCATTCTTGTTGAAGAGGCCTTCATTGTCTTGTCCACAACCAAAGATCATTTTTGGGAGTGAAACCGGTTGGCCAGTAGTGGACCCAAAAGTGACTCGTTCTGTGGCTAGAATTCCCTTGCTGTAGGATCCATCTCCATAAGAAACTCTGTAGTGACAAACTTCTTCTGCATTGGGAAGGGAAGAAGTTCCATTCACAGATTGACACTCGCTTGAGCTACAAGAAATTTCTGCCTAAGTTTTGGAATTTTTCGGATCAAAGATCGGTGCTTTCTGCTTGTAACAGTTGGTGCAAGGCATGCATTGCGTCCAGGTAAGATCACTACCTGTATCTGCAACGCCAAAGAATTCCCAAGGTGTACCTACTGATATTTTCATGAGATATTCACCCATGTCTGATATTATTGTAGATTTAGGCATGTTTGAAGGGAATGAAGTTGTGCTCAAGAAATCGACACGGTTAATGGAACACTGCAAAGCATTTCTCACACGTTGTGATGGTGTTTCTGAAGGATTATGGAGAGGAGACATGGGAGAGTCGCGGTGAATAAGCTCCACACTGAAGCCACCATTACGATCAGCTTGTATAAGAGAGAGAAAAAATAAGTAGCAGATAACACGAGAGCTATTGCCATGGAGAACGAAGGGTTAGTCGAAATGGCTCCCATGGCTCTTTGAGAAGATTGTATGAAGCTCAGGACCCCAAACTAATATAGGAGCGGAAACAAGACTATAATAAATGTAGAAAGAGTGAAATTTATGGCAAGAAAATAAAATAAAATCTTCATTTAACTTAGATTTGAGGTGCTTCTCTGACTACTGTCCAGATTCTTATTAATTGCTTCTCTCCTTTGTCATCAACTCCTCATCTATCCTTTGCTTTCTTATCGATGATCCAATTCTCATTTATTCAAGCTAATTTAAAACATAATCCAAAGACAAACAAAGAGGATAAAAAAGGCTTTCAAGTCAAAAGTTCAGCATTTAACATTACGTGATTAAACACTGTTCCACTGGCAGCACAGAGCCTCACAACTTAAAAAAAAAAAAAAAAAAATTGAATACCAATATCTACCAGCCAAGCAAGGGTTCCGTCTGAAGCAGCTAATAAAAGAGGCATTTTAGATGTCTTTCAGGTTGTTAGAGACATTATCTCATGTACCTTACGATGTTACAGCTAGAACCAACTTCCTGATTTTGAACTAGAACCAAGCCTTTAACCCTGAATGAACTGTCCCACTATAATCCATGTATTCCCAAGTAAGATCGACCAACAGTTTCATCTTTTGTAATTTTAAGGAGAATTGAGGAGGTCCTAATCTACATCCATTGCCTGATCCTTCTCATTGGTACTGCTGGACCATAGTTTGATGGTTCGGTCATGTGATACAGTAGCAATTTGATGCCCATCTGCCATCAGCAACAACATAAGCAATTAGATAACAAGTAGTCACTCCAAGAAATCCAAGCAGGTTAAGCACTTTTACTTTCAGAATTAATAGAAAACCACAAGCAGGGCAAGAAAAACTTTTAAAAAGTATTTATTCCAAGAAAAACCCAAGAAGGATAGAAAAGAAAAGAGTAAGGGAAATTACTACAGGGTCTATGGGACATAATTAGAAAGGCTAGGCGGCACAGAGATATTCATATATTTTACACATAAAGGGGGAAAGGGAGTATTTAGGGTTTTCCCTAAGGATACAACTACAAATTGCACCTAGTCAAAACAATGTAATCTAAGGGAGTTCATTTATATATTCTTCTCATCAATGAAATATATAATGAGATAATCAATCAAGACCAAGATGACAGCAATAAACCTGCTTCAAGGAAACAATAGAATCAACTACGGTTTCTTTTTTTTGGGTTTTGTAGAGAATGTGGTACCAACCTTCGAACCCAAGATCACTAGGAGTTAGTGCAAGGGCACTTAACCACAAGGGCAGGTAGAAGGCCAGTAATACAGTTTCTCACTTTATACTGACAAAGGTCTATCCCTTAAGTTAGCCCGTAATACCGAGATCTAAGTTGGTGAAGTCAAAATACGATGACAAGAACATCGGATTGTACACAGAGAAAGCTGGTACAGTGGTTATCTGCACTTACTATATAAGGGAGGAAAAAATGTCTAGATTCTAAAAGTACAGGGTTAGGGAGGGGTGAAAAATTGTAAAAGGAGTGTATATATGTATATACACACATATTGAAAGGTGTGTACAATACATATCATAACTAATTAATAAAAAATTAAAAAAGAGAAGTTCGGGCAGGATGGACGCAGCCCTGCATCACACCCCCCCAAAAAAAAAATCATTTCTTATTATTCTTTGGACTATGCCTCTTGATACAGACTATAGTCATACACCAAAAAGTCCATGCATACTTAAATGGGTGAAAACAGGACGTAATAATCAAAAGAATATGCATAACTGTTGATTAGGATACTTACCTCCTGCAATATCCAAAGAAGTAACTTTTGCTTCATGTCCAGAGAGCGTCCTCACAGGCTTAAAATCTCGGGCTGACCATATCTGGCAAAGATGAGATATTGCATAATCAAGATATGAATCAATAAAATGGTAATCAATATTAATAACTCCAAATTCACTCTCTATTTAGAAATCATGGTTCTCAAAAAGTAGTGTACCTTTGTTGTCAAATCATACGAAGCAGTTACTAAGAAATATCCCTCTTGAGGCTCAAATTTGACCTGTGATATGAGATTGGAATGTGCTGGAATGATGTATATGGATTTCTTTTTTCTTAAATCCCATATCCTGCAAGTGTTGTCTTCACCCCCACTGGCTAAATAATAGCCATTTGCTGAGAAACTGAGTGCTAGAACCTGAAAGATAACCGAATGTTAAAATAATTGAATGAAACGTGTACAAATAATGAAAATTAATTGCATTAAAAATATAAAAGATAAAACTAGAGTCTCACTTTCTTGACATGGCCTTCCAAGGCAAGAATACTTCTACCCGTACGGAGGTCCCAAACACGAGCAAGTGCATCCAGTCCAGAAGATGCCACCAATGATCCGTCAGGGTGGAATGCTATCCCGTAGACACTCCTACTGTGACCTTCCTGAAGAAGCAACTCTTCACTAGTTTCTACATCCCATAGCCTCCATGTCTTGTCAAAGCTAGTTGTACCTAAATATTTTCCTGATGGATGGAAGGCAATACGTGCAAGACGGTCCAAATGGCCCTTAAATGTCACCAGCTGAGATCCTTCAGTGTTCCACAACTTTGCAGTCCGGTCAGCAGAAGCAGTTGCTACGAGGGTATGAACAGGAGAAAACTGAACATCAGTCAGGCGCTCTGTGTGTCCCTTCAAGGTGGCAAACTTCTTTGCTTCAGGCATGCTCCACAACTTGGCAACTCCACTTATAGCACTGAGAAAGGTAAAGCAACATAAGCAAATCAGTCCAACCTCTTCTACATACAATAAGTCTCACAAAATCTATAGTACTAGCAAAGCAATAAATCTTGGCTAGCCATCCTAAAAATACCTAGTTAGCATAATAATATTAAAAGGTTGAAACTTATTTTTTTTCACTTATATTCATATGTTTACCTTACAACCCAAGATGGCTATAGCAATCAAAAATCAAATAGCAGGAAATAAACCATGAATTATCATATTTAGCAATTAACTAAATTTACAATTCAGACACCAAAAAAGAGAGGTAAAGAGACCATACCAAGTGGCAAGCAGTTTTCCATCATGTGAGAAAGAACAACCAGAAAGTGGCCTATCATCCCCAATCTCACTACAATCAAGTTCCAAACTTGATGCCTGCCTCAAAGCCCAGTCCAACTCTGCATCCATATCCTCATCTGGGTCATCCTTCTTCCTTCGAGCCCGTTCAAGCCGCGAAGCTGCCCTCTTAATGGAGTACTTTGCAATGTCAATTCTCGCATTCATCAAAGCTTTGGATCCTTCAGTGTAAAAAGGGTACTGAACCATTTGATCATCACCATCTTCTAATGCAGCAGAAGCGGCAGCCTCCTCCTCCTCATGAACTTTCAACAACTTCTCCAACTCGCCTTGCGAATCAAGCCTTGCCATGATCATCCTCAACCTGTCTCGCCTCTCCATCTCTCTTTCTCCAAAAAGAGTAATGGGTTCGCCGAGCCGCCGAAGACGAGCCCTCACAGCCATGTCGTTAGTGGGAACAGCAAGAGCAGAAGCACGGCGCTTCATCAACAGTTCTTGAATTGCTTTCTCCTGTCGCTCTCTCACCACTCTGCTCTC